TTAGAAAGTTCTCTTACACCTTAGTCAGACACAACAATCCTTTTCCAGCCTGAGAACCAAGGACACCATTGCAGATTTGGGCCCAAAAAGTATAAAAAACAGAGAATTGAGGAGAGCAAACTGGGAGGATGGGACTTCATAACCTGAAGCTGTAATTGGACAGTTGATTCCAATATGGAAATGGACCAAAACTTATAAAGGTGTGAAAACTTGTGACTGGTTGTCCATCTTGGGTCCATCTTGGGCAGAGCCATGGCCTGGCTCCTGTGCTGCCCAAGGTGTATCCATTGAGGCCTTTTAATAAATCTTTACTTTATTCCTTTAACTCTGTCCAGCCTCTGTTCCAGGTCAGCCTCTTTTAGCATCTGGAGGAATTTGCTCTGCTCCAGGTGTGAAAACGTCACCTCTCTTCTTTCCCATGCACCTCTATGTGGTGCACATTGCTTTGTGCTGTAAACATACTGGGCAGGCAGAAAAAAGCTGTGAAAAGGGAATTTAAGTGTGCACAAGTCCCAGCACTGCCACCTGCGAGTCACACCAGTGTTCCCCCCCGAGCACACTGCGGGGCAGAAAGGCAATAAAATCCCACTAATGGTAAATCTGGGAGAGAATTTTTAATCCAGAGTATCTCTCCTTCCTTTTCCCCACTTGTACACCAAATTCATCAGTGGAGTGATGGGAATACTTTGTCACCACAAACATATATTATTTCTGTGATGTGTGTTAGTACATTGTAATGAAAATGTGTTTTCCAAAGGCATGGTTGCTTTTTTTCCCCTTTGCTGTCACTATAACACTCTTCACCAAGATAAAAGGTTTCCTTCCCACCAACCTCAAAAAAAAAAAAAAAAAAAAAAAAAAAAAAAAAAAAAAAAAAGAAAAAAAGCCTGAGTTATGGGAATGACAGAACTCGTGTAATTGCTCCTGCTTTGCATGCTGCCAGGCTGATTGCCTGAACTATGACTGATCCAGATTCCCACTGAAGTCTATGAGGGTTTCTTTTTTATTTTTTTGCACTGAAACAGCAATTTGGTTTTAAAGGAAATTTTTTGAGGAGCAGACCTGAAGCTAGGTGAGTGAAAGTAGCATTGCCACATTGTTGTGGTGGAATGAGGACAATTTAACCCTGCTGAGGATGAGGCTTGGTAGTTTCATGGCTCCTAAATGGTGACTGCTGCTGCATTTGGACATATTTACGAAGATTTTTTTCTTTAGAGGTTAGAAAAAAAAAAATGTATACTATCTATCTATAGATAGCTCACCAATGGAATTTCAGAGGCTGAGCAAACTCTTATTGCCCCCTTGTATTCACACACATGTAACTCTCCTTTGGTCATTTTACCTTATCATTATTTGAGAATATTTTCCTCTTAAAAAATATTGAAACAGTATTTTTTGCATGTGGTGCACAGGTTGGAATACCCAGCCATTCCTGGGCCTGGCAATGACAGACTGTTGACTTGCAAACTCTCTTTGTTAGGCAGCGATGCCAAAATGGTTATAAGTATGTGTGCCCAGGCTATTTTATGTATTTGCTTAGCAGGAATTTTTGCAGATGGATCAGCTAATTCATTGTAACACGATGTCTTATGTTGACTTTTGGACTAGACCAAAACATAACATTTATATTTTCATATAAGGCCTTTCTGTCCCTGCACAGGAGAATGCACGACCCTGCAATCACCCAGCAGCTACCAATGATGAGTGATGGACAATAATGGTGGTTTCTGCTTTCCAATCTCCAGGACTTTCTCCTCAGCATGTTCAGAATTTGACAACACTGATGGCATCTCTGGGAGAGGTGGTCCATGAGATGGAGACAGGAGCAGCACGTTAGGGTGTGATTATTTGTGAAACGGAAGCAGATTCTCCATCTTCCTAACTGGCAGATGTATGGGCGCATTTTTCATCAAAACAGTTACTAAAATGTTCTATTTCTCCTTCAAAACCTCTGTGAGATAAAGCTATTCATGTAGAACAGCCAGTTGTTCCCCTTGTAATGGAATTTAACTGAATTGTGACCATTTCCATGTAAGAGATTCATGCTGAAACCCTCAGAGCTGGAAGGATCTGCAGACCAACGTGGTCTCCTCAGTCTGCATTAACACCCTCAGAGTTGGTTTGTGTGAGAAAAACTCATCTTGGCAGGGTAAAATAAGCAGAGGAGATAACTCACCATCCCCCAGAAAGATGCATCAAGATGGAGGAAACACTAAAAGCAAGATTTGGTCGCTTCTTCACTGAGAAAAAGACAAGAAATGGGAGCATAGCTGGTTCCTTCTGCAGTCCCATGAGGAAAAGTTTCTGCTGGAGCTGCAGGCTCATCCTTTGGCTGGTGGGATGGAGAACACCCAGCTGCACATGGTGGGTGCTGAGGACACAAATCCAGAAAGACATGTAGCCACAGCTTTGAGAGCTGGAATTACATAAGGAACACAATGAATGTCCAGCATGAGGGAGTTCTGCCACTATGAATATGTTTATAGGGGTGAATATTATTACCAGTATGGGATTAGGGAAATTCATTTCATTGGAAATGAAAGGCAAGAGCCAGACACTTGGCTCAGGATGTGCAATGTTTCCTTACCCAGGAACTCAGAGCCCAGCAGGATCTGACCTTGTATAGTTTAAGATGTTAGACTAATTCAATTTAAAACACCTCAATTGTTTTATTATATTAAGAGTCTGTCTTTACATATTTATAGTTTGTATAATAACATAACACAATACTAATATAATATAACACTTTCATTTCTAATACAGCGTGCCATAGAGTTGAATATAGAAGGCAGCAGACACTTGACTTTTACCTCAAATAGGGCACCCAATGCTTTTATTTCCCCAAGCAAATATTGCAGCATCTAATGCTCCATTAAAGCAGGGAGGGAGAGATATTTGATGAGGTCTCTCAGGAGAGTTAGGATGAGAGAAGCATTTCAGTATTAAATTTAATGCTGTCAGCAGTTTAAATTTATATAAAAGTGAGTGTAATTCCATTGAGGACCTTCTGGAAAAGTCTCAGGCAGCTCCAGCTGCTGCCAAAGTTGGGAAATGGCATTTCAGTGTCCAGGTGGACAGCAGCGTCCTTAACAAGGACATTCCTGTGGTCGTGTTCCCCACCCCAGCTGGCCCAAGCTGGGCTCTGCCCTTTGTGGCTCTTGGGTTCAGGTTGTTCATGGCACGTTGTGGCCATTACCCACAGAGTGATTGCAGTTTATTGCCCCACCTGGAATTAGCCCTGCTGATCTGGCAAGACCAGCCTTTCCTAACCTTTAGCACTCCCTGACTGATCTTTGCCCTGTGCTGGCTCGGGCACACCTGGGGAGGCTGGGAGCTCGTGGTTTCAATGGTTTGGCTGTAAAATGCGCCTGAAGAAAAAGGAGAGTGATGCAGGGTAGTGAGCTGGGATAAAAATTTGAAAGACATGACAAAAAAAAGCTCAATAGCAGATAGGTTTTAGGGAGAGGAGTTGAGAAAAGCTGAGTATCAAAGTACCAGGGAGAATGGGTTTTGATCCTTCTGGGTCAGAAAACAACTGTATTTAAAAACGACCCCAAAGTTCCCTGAAGCTGACCCTGAGCCAGTTCACATAAGGGAACATGGAAAGGGTTCAGTTTTGCCACCCTATATAACAATAAATATTGCTATTTGTCCCAATAACTCTGGACAAGGAGCATGGATGGCTCCCTTCACATGTTGTACAGAGACAGATCCACAGCATTTCAGGATGGTTTCCATCAGGACTGGGATCTGCCTGCTGGACTTCTGGCTTCTCCCTGTCAAAATGAGGGTCTGTGGGAAGAGAAGATCAGCAAGATCCAGACAGGAGTATGAATTTCTCTTTGTTCTGATTTGGATCTGCCCAGATGAGCCTGATGAGGGCAGGTTCTCCTTTCCCTTCAGCATCTTGTGGCTGGGGCATGGGTTTTCTCTTGTGGGGTCAAACGAGCCATTGAAGAGATGATAAAGAGTCAAATTTGGATATGGGAGTGGAGCTGTGTAATGGGTTATCACAGACATCTTAGTTTCATTTGATTTATTAGCTCTGCTAATTATCCCAATAAATCAGTGTTTGAATGGAACTTGGCATTGACACTGAATGTAAAAGGACTGGGACTACACTTGGGGAGTTAACAGGGAAGATTCAGCTACAGATGTCAGGGAACAAATGAGACTTGAAAAGATGCAAGCAAAATTGGGAGATACAAAAGCAATATTAAATATTCTGAGAGGATGGAGCTCCCTATGTGTTATTACTTCATAGTCATCACTGTGCAAGAGCATCTTCACCATCAACAGCATCTGCAGGTGATTCCTGTGGGCAAAGACCAAAGGAGACACACTGCTGGCCCAGTTTATTTTACATTCTATGACATTTGCTGTAATGAGACCCACATGGAAATCACACAGAGAGAAGGAAGCAAAGGCATCACTGAAGTTCCTGTGCTGCAGACTGGGCTAAGGAGGTTGCAGGTGCAGGTTGCTGTGCTGAAATCTTGCTGCTCTTCAGAAACCGTGCAAAAACCTTCTTGGGCTGAGTTCCTGCAAGCTTTCCATTCCCATATTTCCAAGCAAACAGTAATCTAATGTCTGGGAGTAAAAAACTGTATCACCTGAGCACATGCAGGAAGCAACTGAAACAAAAACATTTTGGTGACAGCCTGAGCAGGCCCCTGCAGACAGCACCAAACAAGTGAAATTGTGAAGCAGCCTCTGCTCTAACAAGAGCCAGGTTTGCACTGCTGCCGGCTCTGCTGCCTCACTCCAGCTCTCTCGCTCCACCCTTCGGGGTTTGTCTTTTTTTTTTTACAGATTTTGCAATCTGACAGAGGCGTGTGAAAACAAGTTGAGGGAAAGAACATTCCCCTGAAGAGCAGCTGGAGAGCAGACCTCAAGCCCTGTCTGCCAGTCTGTGCTAAGCAGAGGACAGCCACGCCACTTGTTTTAGCCTAGACCACCCCAAGCCCCGGAGGCACACTGGCACTGGAACTGATTTTCCAGGTAAGCCTTTTTCTTAACCCCTGGATCTTGGTAGCTGGGCGCTCTCTAAGCAGGAAGTGAAACCTGTCTGGGGACAAAACACAGCAGAAATGGGGTAAGGGCAGAGCAGGGAGCTCAGCTGCTCGCTGTTGTGGATACGCTGCTTTATTTACTCAGTTGTGAGCCTCAAGCAAGTCGGGCATTTGTCCCATCTGCCTCATTTCACCAACCCTCATAAAAACAGCCCTGTAAGCACCCTCAAGAGATGGACAGACAGACAAACCCACACCAGCATTTTCTCTGTAAGTAAAATGTTACTGCACATGTTCTGCTTCTGTGGCAGAGAGGAAGGAAGAGAAAAAAAGGAAAAACTGGATTAACTGGGACGCTGGTTTAAAATTCACACAACAAGAACTAAGCTTATGCCAAGTTTTCAGAAATCAATAGAACTGTAGTTCTGGGAAAATCCTGGGGATAGCCAAAAGCTGAACAAAGAGAAGCTCCTGACTCTGATGCTCTTAACCCCATCGTGGATCACTCAGGCCTGCTCAGATGGTGAGACACAGCAGTGGCCCTGACCAATAGTCAGAGTTCTGTAAAGCCTCTATCCTAAAGGTTATGTGGGGACCCAGATCATGGCACCCTCTGCTTCTGCCAGGATATTACACCAAAAGGGAATTTTTCATGTTCTTTGTTTATGTACTGAATGTACCCTCCCAAAATCCCCATGCAATTTTGGGTTTGCCATTTTTCATCAGATTGGGAATATAATCCTGTTGAACAGTTGGATATTTTTCTTTTGATTTTACTTTGGGAGTTGCACACAGGAACTTGAGAGCATTTTTGGACCCCTTGGGTCAATAATGGGAAGAACATTGCTCCATATTTACAGATGTGTGAAATTTAGCAGTGCCTGGGGAGGAATAACAAGAATACTTGGCTCCATCAAAATCCCACTGCTTCCATCAAGGGCTGGGAAGGCTCGAGCTGCTTTCCACCCTGTGTTTGTGAAGTAGCCTTGCACTGAGCCCTCTGCCATCCCAGAGGAGGGCAATGTCTTCTCCTTCACCCACGGGCAGCCACACAGCAGTGGGAAGATCATGAACAGAAGGAGCAACTGATTCCAAAAGATGATCTCAGAAAATGTGAGGCCTCTGAAAATTGTTTAGGCCCCAACCTTGGTTTCCTCCTGTTGCTGGAGAAGGGCTGTGATGCGCAGGACTGGGGAGGCAGCTCACAGCAGATGCAGCAAAACCCCTCCCACAGCCTTTTCTGCCCTAAAAAACCCTTCTGCACTCCAGGCCACATCTGCTGCTGCTGGCACAGAGAGCAGGAGCAGGTGAGACCAGCTCAGGCCTGGCTGCCTAAATAATGAATGAAGCACCATGGCAGGACAGATTTGGTTGCAGAAGTGGCTCTGGATCACACTGCAAGAGTGGGAGGGTTTGTTTTCTGCTTCTGCTGTGCTGAAGCCACCAGCAAAGCAGTTCAGATCTGGAGAGTCTCAGTTCCTATAATTCCTAGCAGGGAAACATCACTGCTGCTGCTTTTGTTCCTTCCTACAGAGATTTGTAGCTTTGCTGGGCAGGAGCTCTGCTGAAATGTGCTTAGCACAGCTGGAGCCTCTCGTCACAGCTGTAAAAGAAGCAAATAAAAATAACATTTGTGCTCATCAGCAGCGTCCCTTTGGCTTCTCTCAGCACTATTGCTCAGCTGCCTTTGATACAGATATTAGTCAAATCCTGCTCCTCTTTTGAGCACCCCATTATAAGGGATGGGGAAGAGCCTTCCACCTCTTCTGACACAGCCTATTGTTTTTTCCCTCCCGTCTCTCAGAGGCAGCATGGACATCAAGGAGTATTTTACCAGAATTTCTTACCAGGGCTCCCCCAATAAGCCAGACCTGGCTACCTTGTCAGATATATTCCAGCACCACATCCAAGCTGTCCCTTTTGAAAACCTCAGCATCCACTGTGGAGAAAGAATTGAGCTGGACCTGGAAGCGACCTACAAGAAGATAGTGAGGAACAAACGTGGGGGCTGGTGCATGGAAAACAACTACCTTCTGTCTTGGGTCTTCAAAACTCTTGGCTACAGCGTCACACTTCTAGGAGCAAAAGTTTATGTCCCAGAGCTTGATGCCTATGCAGATGAAATGGATCATCTGCTGCTACAAGTGGAGCTTGATGGCAAATCCTACATTGTGGATGGGGGATTTGGGATGGCCTACCAGATGTGGCAGCCAATGGAACTGATTTCAGGGACAGATCAGCCTCAGACTCCTGGGATCTTTCGTTTTCAGGAGGAAAATGGGACCTGGTACCTTGAGAAAGTGAAAAGGAAGCAGTGGGTCCTGAACCCAAGCACCTCGACTTCCCCAAATGTGGAAAATGAAGTTTGCCGTCGGGTTTATCTCTTCACCCTTCAGCCACGAGACATTGAGGAGTTCATGGGCTGCAATGTCCACCTGCAAACAGCACCTGACTCACTCTTTGTAACCAAGTCCATCTGCAGCCTGCAGACCAGCGATGGCATCCGGGCGCTGGTGGGGTGGAAACTCACTGAGATAAAGTACAATTATCGGGACAATATGGATCTTGTGGAAATCAGAATCCTTGCAGATGAAGAAATAGAGAAAACACTGAAGGAGAAATTCAATATAACACTGAACAAGAAATTTGTACCTGCTAATACGAGCAAGTTTTCTCTGTTCTAACTCACTGCCTGAATTACAATTCAATTCAGTGGCATTACAGACAATTCTTCCCTCTCTTTTTGACAGGCATCCAAAGGTTAATCTTTCTCCTTCCAACTACACCATTGTAAGGCCGAACATACTATCCTGAATCTGGAAAAATGTTTTCATCACTTAAAAGCATTTTTACCACACTAAGTGTAGCTGGGCAGAATGATGGAGTTGTATGTCTTTGTCTTTATTTCCTGATGCTGCTCCTTGGGAAAATCACACCTGCCTCTTAAATGAATACTATATTATTTTGGGAGTGTAATAGCCAAAAAACCAAAGCCATCCTGTGCTGAGTTTCTCCAGTATAGCCATAAGGCTGTTTCTTTTTGCTCTCACATCCACAACACCCTCTCTCTCCCATGGCACTCAGGCCATCCCACACCTGTGCAAACTCCCCATGTGAGGACAGATTCCTTATGACTTAGAACTGAGGATAAGAAATGTCAGTGACTGTTCTGTGTTGTTTGAGACTTTGCACAGCTCCTGTTCTCTCAGTGCCATAACCAGGAGCAGCATTTCTGAAACTGAAAGCATCTCCTGAGCATTTTGTTTGCTCACACTCAGCAGCAGAGTGCTGGGAACACACGTTCCTCTCCTCAGACTCTGGGTGCTATTGCACGTTCATTATTACAGCTGAACCCAAACACATGCACAGATTCTTTTTGTGAAACGTATCTGTTCTAATGAGGAAGTGTTTGCAGTGATACTAATTAAATTATTATTAGGAGAAGCAATGAATCTCAATCACAGACCTAACAACTAAGATTTCTAGTAGGAGAAACTACTTAAATGTGACCCCTTTGCCCTTTGAGAAGATGCTTGGTGTTCCTTTAGGTACAAATCTTGGAGGCGTTACAACTATGCACTTAAAATTAAGCAAATTATAGTAGTGAATTACAATTAAATAAAAAAATCAAGCACTGTGAACTAGAAATTTTCTGACTTCTTTCCCCCTTAAATTACAGCATGTATTCCCATGGAAAAAATAAATGTCGTTAATCACTGAAATTGTCCTGATTATTTGTACATGCTAATATTTTCCAGCTAAGGTTTTTAAAAAGATAACAACACACTGAACCTTCTTCCCTTGTTATGCAGCATGTGCAGCTTTCTAGAACAAGCATTTCTAGATTTAATAAAAGCTGCTTTTCTGCATGTTCAGAACGTATTTCTTAGAGACACAGCAAGCTCCTGAAACTCCTGTCTTCCCAGAGTCAAATTAATTCACATGTGCTTGTCTGCAGGGGTGCATTAGTTCTTTATAGCACATGAGGCCCTCTTGTCCTATCAGGAATTGAAATGTGGCTGTAAAAGAAGGAGAGGCTTCTTGTGGCTGTGGACCAGCAGCTTGCAACAGAAATGATCAGAAAAAATTGTCCCAGGATCTGGCTTGTTTTTAATCTGTGTTTTTCCCCTAAGTTAGTGGGAGAGCTAAATGAGCTGAACTGAGCAGGACAGCAGGGACAAAGCATTGGGATGCAGGTGAAAGTCCAGGCAGGTCTTGCAAAGCTGTGGAGCAGGAGAAGGTCCAGACAGAGCCAAGAATGTCCATCCTTTGTGGGAACAAACATAGGAACCACCTGAAAAGGGCTGTGCTCACTCCTCTCTCCCTGTGTCAGGGTGTTTTCTGCACTGAGGAATAGCTCAGTGTGGTGGGATCAGTTCAAGAGCTGCCATCCCCACCAATACTGCAGCAATTTCCTGCCCTGGATTATTCTCTCTCTATCACAAGTCACTTCCCACAGGGATCCAGAGCACATCAGTGTCAACAATGTAAAATCTGCATCGTTATTGCACTAGTGCTTTGCTGCTTTAGCTTGGGAGCACCCAGCAAGGTGCCCCAGACACTGAAGCCCCTGGGTGACTGCAGGGTTGAGGATGGGTTTCTAGGTTATAACCACTTACAGAAGTTGCTGATGATACCCATGCTGTGCACTCCTGGAGGGCTTCAGCTGTCATTCAGTGACTGGGAAGGTTAAAATGTCCTCATTATTGTAAGCAGTTTGGGGACTGGATCATTTGCAGGCTCTCTGTGCAACACCTAACACAACAAATTGCATGACAGGGATTTCTACACGTGTGCCAGTACAAATAAAGCAATAAACCCATCAGAATAGAAAGTACTATTAAAGGAGAAACTCTCTCCCCTCTTTGGCTGCTCTGCTGGAGGATAAGGCTGTCCCTGACAGGCACTAAAGGCAGCCTGGACCTTTAAGAGCAGCAGTTGCCAGTGCAGCTCTTCCTGGGAACTTTGGAACAGGCCAGAGTGGAAAGCCTGAGCTGGCAGCCTGCGAGGTAAGCTCTGCATGCCTGATCTTTAACTTCATCCTGCAGTTTTGGGTCAGCCCCGCTGGGAAAGCCCATCCCTGTGAGCCTGCACACCCTGTGCACAGCACTGCAGGAGTATTAGCAAAGCACAAACTACAGGAACCAGGGAGAGTGTGTGAGACAACAACTGTATTTGAAAAGGACCCCAAAGTTCCCTGAAGTTGACCCTGAGCCAGTTCACATAAGGGAACATAGCAAGGCTTCAGTTTTACCATCCTATATGACAATAAGTATTGCTATTTGTCCCAATAACTCTGGACAAGGAGCATGGATGGCTCTCCTCACATGTTGTACAGAGACAGATCCACAGCATTTCAGGATGGTTTCCATCAGGACTGGGATCTGCCTGCTGGACTTCTGGCTTCTCCCTGTCAAAATGAAGGTCTGTGGGAAGAGAAGATCAGCAAGATCCAGACAGGAGTATGAATTTCTCTTTGTACTGATTTGGATCTGCCCAGATGAGCCTGATGAGGGCAGGTTCTCCTTTCCCTTCAGCATCTTGTGGCTTGGGCATGGGTTTTCTCTTGTGGGGTCAAACGAGCCATTGAAGAGATGATAAAGAGTCAAATTTGGATATGGGAGTGGAGCTGTGTAATGGGTTATCACAGACATCTTAGTTTCATCTGATTTATTAGCTCTGCTAATTATCTCAATAAATCAGTGTTTGAATGGAACTTGGCATTGACACTGAATGTAAAAGGACTGGGACTGCACTTGGGGAGCTAACAGGGAAGATTCAGCTACAGATGTCAGGGAACAAATGAGACTTGAAAAAATGCAAGCAAAATTGGGAGATACAAAAGCAATATGAAATATTCTGAGAGGATGGAGCTCCCTATGTGTTAATACTTCATAGTCATCACTGTGCCAAGAGCATCTTCACCATCAACAGCATCTGCAGGTGATTCCTGTGGGCGAAGACCAAAGGAGACACACTGCTGGTCCAGTTTATTTTACATTCTATGACATTTGCTGTAATGAGACCCACATGGAAATCACACAGAGAGAAGGAAGCAAAGGCATCACTGAAGTTCCTGTGCTGCAGACTGGGCTAAGGAGGTTGCAGGTGCAGGTTGCTGTGCTGAAATCTTGCTGTTCTTCAGAAACCGTGCAAAAACCTTCTTGGACTGAGTTCCTGCAAGCTTTCCATTCCCATATTTCCAAGCAAACAGTAATCTAATGTCTGGGAGTAAAAAACTGCATCACCTGAGCACATGCAGGAAGCAACTGAAACAAAAACATTTTGGTGACAGCCTGAGCAGGCCCCTGCAGACAGCACCAAACAAGTGTAAAGCAGCCTCTGCTCTCACAAGAGCCAGGTTTGCACTTGTGAAGAACATGGTTCACTGTCCTGTAGCAGTTTAAAAGTTCTATAAATGACAATAGGCGACAAAGACCATAGAGCAAAGGTTATTACGGCTGGGTGTATCCTGGCACTCAGCCAAGAGCACACCAGTTAGTTTGGAAACATAATTTATATAGCATTTCTAATTGCATTGGCCTGTTACATAATCATAAACAATTATGCATAGTAAGCTTTTCTCCCAAACCAGTTTATGTGTTCCAAGAACTGTTTAGCGTGGCTCCTCCTTGGGCCTGCCTGTTTAGAGCATGCGTATTCCTTGGTGTGGTTTTAGTCCGTTCCTATTACCACCTCCAGTGTTTGGGCTTTGGGCCACAATGTTTTCACATGGTGAATGCAGATAGTTGGCATATCTGTAGCAGGTGCCCTCATCATATGTTCATTGGATGTTATCCAATCCAAGCAGGAATTTTAACACAAGCATGCTTATATCAGCTATTTCAGTACAATGTTCTAAACTTAATTTACATCAGAAATAAAAACTATATCTTTGTAGCAAAGTTACTTTAACACCACACATATAAAATCCATTTAAAATTTGCAAAAAGCCAATATTGTTATACGTATCTGTAACAGCCTGCTGCTGGCTCTGCTCTCAGGCACCGCCCTTCCGGGTTTTCTTTTTTGGTTTTTTTTTTTTTTTTTTTTTTTTTTTTTTGTCTGCTTTTGCAACCTGACAGAGGCGGGTAAAAGCAAGTAGAGGGAAAGGACATTCCCCGGAAGAGCAGCTGGAGAGCAGTCCTCAAGGCCTGTCTGTGCTAAGTATAGGACAGCCAGCAATGCCACTTGCTTTAGCCTAGACCACCCCAAGGCCTGGAGGCACACTGGCACTGGAACTGATTTTCCAGGTAAGCCTTTTCCTTAACCCCTGGATCTTGGTAGCTGGGCGCTCTCTAAGCAGGAAGTGAAACCTGTCTGGGGACAAAACACAGCAGAAATGGGGTAAGGGCAGAGCAGGGAGCTCAGCTGCTCGCTGTTGTGGATACGCTGCTTTATTTACTCAGTTTTGAGCCTCAAGCAAGTCGGGCATTTGTGCCATCTGCCTCATTTCAGCAACCCCCATAAAAACAGCCCTGTAAGCACCCTCAAGAGATGGACAGACAGACAAACCCACACCAACATTTTCTCTGTAAGTAAAAAGTTACTGCACATGTTCTGCTTGCTGTGGCAGAGGGAAAGGAAGAGGAAAAAAGGAAAAACTGGATTAACTGGGACGCTGGTTTAAAATTCACACAACAAGAACTAAGCTTATGCCAAGTTTTCAGAAATGAATAGAACTGTAGTTCTGGGAAAATCCTGGGGATAGCCAAAAGCTGAACAAAGAGAAGCTCCTGACTCTGATGCTCTTAACCCCATCGTGGATCACTCAGGCCTGCTCGGATGCTGAGACACAGAGGTGGCCCTGATCAATAGTCAGAGTTCTGTAAAGCCTCTATCCTAAAGGTTATGTGGGGACCCAGATCATGGCACCCTCTGCTTCTGCCAGTTATTACACCAAAAGGGAATTTTTCATGTTCTCTGTTTATGTACTGAATGTACCCTCCCAAAATCCCCATGCAATTTTGGGTTTGCCATTTTTCATCAGATTGGGAGTATAATCCTGTTGAACAGTTGGATATTTTTCTTTTGATTTTACTTTGGGAGTTGCACACAGGAACTTGAGAGCATTTTTGGACCCCTTGGGTCAATAATGGGAAGAACATTGCTCCATATTTACAGATGTCTGAAATTTAGCAGTGCCTGGGGAGGAATAACAAGAATACTTGGCTCCATCAAAATCCCACTGCTTCCATCAAGGGCTGGGAAGGCTCGAGCTGCTTTCCACCGTGTGTTTGTGAAATAGCCTTGCACTGAGCCCTCTGCCATCCCAGAGGAGGGCAATGTCTTCTCCTTCACCCACGGGCAGCCACACAGCAGTGGGAAGATCATGAACAGAAGGAGCAACTGATTCCAAAAGATGATCTCAGAAAATGTGAGGCCTCTGAAAATTGTTTAGGCCCCAACCTTGGTTTCCTCCTGTTGCTGGAGAAGGGCTGTGATGAGTAGGACTGGGGAGGCAGCTCTCAGCAGATGCAGCAAAACCCCTCCCACAGCCTTTTCTGCCCTAAAAAAACCCTTCTGCACTCCAGGCCACATCTGCTACTGCTGGCACAGAGAGCAGGAGCAGGTGAGACCAGCTCAGGCCTGGCTGCCTAAATAATGAATGAAGCACCATGGCAGGACAGATTTGGTTGCAGAAGTGGCTCTGGATCACACTGCAAGAGTGGGAGGGTTTGTTTTCTGCTTCTGCTGTGCTGAAGCCACCAGCAAAGCAGTT